AAAAAGATCAGAAACAAGTACGCAAAATCGCGGACAGACAGATATACCAAATGATTTTTATAGGAAAATCATATGAAATTTTTAAAATGCGGAATTTTTCGAACGGATTGATCGATTTCGACGTTTGAGGTATCGTTGGAAAGGTATTGAGCTCGAGAATCAGAATATCGATTTTTCAGGGGTCAACGAGCTCATTTAGTGCCATATATGGCCGTAGAACTGAATTTTGACCTTTTTCTTGAAAGGAACATATTTTGAAGACAGGTAGACCAATTTTCAAATTTTTTTATTTTTTCTTGATCTATAGCCCAAGGGCATATACATCAACCGGAGCCAACGGCCTCCTAGGTTCGGATTTCGTATATTACGTGTATATATAGCGAATTCGACTTTTCAACACACTAATGTGGTTTCCTCACTCGCGCGAACTGCCGTCCGCTGTGATTTATTTATTTAATTACTTATTCTTATTTTGTTATTTTTGTTATTTTTTTTTATCATTTTTAATTTAATTTATTTTATTATTTTATTTCCAAAATATATTTAAGATAATATTAAGTATTTCCTCTAATTCTCCTGAATTAGACCGGTTTTGCCATGGTTTTCCCGATCCAATATCGGTATTTATAGTAACTCGTAAATACCCTCCCTCCACTATATTCTATCTCTTTTTGAAAGTCGCACCATGGGCGAAATTTATACCTTATTGGGCATATAGCCAGCATGTGTCTAGATTACTAGACTCACACAATGGTATAAATTTAGGATTGGTAATAAATAAATAAATAAAATATCAAGCCATTTTCCACTGTAAAAACTCTTTCATTACTCATTGAAAATTAATTGTAGATGCGTAACTTTAACACCGTTAGTTTGTGTTTATTCAAATTTTTTAAATTTAGCATCAATTTATTCTTGTTTCTAGTTCCAGCACCTCAGCATTTATCACTTGAAAAACAGCTGAATAAAAGTGTTTTAATTGGATGGGCAGCTCCAGATCCTCCAGGGAATCAGATAATTGAAAGCTATCACGTATATGTTGATGGCGTGCTCAAGGTTACAGTAAAAGCAAACGAAAGGACCCGTGCATTAGTTGAAGGAGTCGATTTAAATAGGGTACGTCTTAAAAATGGGCTCTCCCTATCCAGCCTGGCAAATTTTTGCGATTGCCTTGAAACCTTTTTAGGGATTAGGTGACAAATTTGTGATAATTTGTGACAGCACTATTTCGGCCCATGGAATAGACCTTCGGCCAATTTTGGCCATTTTTCTATTAAGGCCTATTGGCCAAAAAGTCTCTTAGTGAAATTTTGAATAAAAGCAAAATATAAAAATTAATGATGCAGAATTTTAGTGATTAATTTGTGACTCACAAATATGATTTTAGATTTTCGATACGACATCTGGTGGACATATTATGAACAAAAAATTGAAAAATGCAAAAAAATGATTTTAATCGAAAATTTGAAAAGGCTTTTCATAAAAATGGGCAAAATTATACAAATTTTTCGACATCTTTTTAGTGACCAATTTGTGACTCCCAAAAATATCAACATTTGAATTTTACAGTGTTATTTATCATAGTTACTTTTGAAAACTTCATCCATTTATTACTTATGATATAATTTAATTTATTTATATGGAATAAAACAATATTTTACTGATTGTGAGTATTATTGTTACATTATTATTAGCCACATCGTATAAGTGTTAGAAGTGTAACACACGATCGACACACATCACGCGATGCCGCTTGTACTATGATTATTGGTCGCGATACAGCACATTTAGGACCCTCCGCTGTTAGAGCTTCTAACATAACTTGTTCATCAGCAATCATTGCCTGGCTTCCTGCCAACACAAATCATCAACATGTCGTTTGTGTAAACAATGTAGAAGTAAAATTAGTCAAGCCTGGTGTTTATCGTCAAACCATAACAGGTATGTATAATATACATTGCATAAAAATATATACAGAGTGTTTTCGAATTGCATGCTTTTACTTTTCCACCCACACAAAATATAATGGGGCCAAAATTTACGAACGAACGACCGACTGTTCGTGATCAGCTTTGCTCGTAACGTAGCATAAAATTTCCGAACTTTATAAAAATACGTTTTGAAAATAGAAAAAAATAAAAGTTTTTGCATAAAACAGTAGAGAAACGTGTGTTGCACAAAAATAAATTGAAGTTTTGCAACATGAAAATTACATGAGTATATTCACCATAAACCAAAGTCCAATCGTTTCTACTATGATTTTCGGAATGCAGAATACGATGAAATCAACAAACAGTTTGTTGAGAACGATTGGGACAACATTTTGAATAGACCATCTTTTGACATCAAATTGGAATCATTTTATTCGACAATCAACTCTGTCGTTACATCGAAGGTCAATCAAAAAGTAATAAAGTCTTCGATACATCCAAAATGGTTTAGCAAATCATTACAAAATCAAAAAACAGAAGTAAAAAAATTACATCGATTAATGAAGAAAAACAGATCAACTGAAAATAGAAGGAATTTTAACGATGCCCGTCGCTTGTACAAACAAAATGCACGATCAACATACAGGAAGTACAAATTGCAGATGGAACAACCAATCGACGAATATCCAAGGGAATTCTTTAATTTTGTCAACCAAAAAAAGAACAAGTGTGAAGATCTACCAGCTGAAATGGAATACAAAGAATACAAATCCGATGATAGACAGCAAATTGCTGAAATGTTTGCAACTCATTTTTCAACTGCTTATAGTCAACGCAATGAAACTACAAAACATTTGTGCAGCGATTCCAGAAATAATTGTCACAGATGAACAAGTAAGTGCGAAAATTTCTGAATTGCCAATGGATCTTGTCTCTGGCCCAGATAGTATTCCGAATATTTTCATTAAAAATTGTCTAACATCACTATTGTATCCAATAAAAATATTGCTGAGAGAGTCACTTCAATCAAATTGTATACCACAGATATGTTAAACATCATTCGTGCGACCAGTATATAAAAGTGGTAACAGAAACAACAGAAAATTATCGTGGAGTTGCTTTGCAATGCATAATTTCAAAATTACTCGATTCAATTGTAACAAGTCACATAAATAACTATTTGAAGACAATCATCGACGACAGTCAACATGGATTCATCAAGGGAAGATCAACGGTTACAGATTTGGCAGAATTCACATCGAAATCGCTAATCAATATTGGAAACGGCTATCAAACCGACAGCATCTATTTGG